GGTGCTTCCCTAATAAACCCTGTAATCTGTGAGTTTTGTGTGGCCACTGCAGCGAATTATCGAACCCAGGAGAGAGGTGGTGGTTGCTTTGGGAGGAATGGTTGGTGAAAGGGCTGGAGGGAGGCAGCATGTCTGGCCTTGCAGTAATAGGCCTTGGGTTACTGCTGGTAATCCTGTCTTCCCCTTGTGGGATTAGAGGAGGTCAGAACATGTGGCCTCCTTGCCGTTTTTGCAATGATGGATCTGTCATCCTTCTCTACAATCTGTGCATGAAAACTTTGATCCACTAGGTTACTATGAGTCAGAATTGACTTGATGACAATAGGTTGTTTTTTTTCCCCCAGCGTCTTACATATTAAATTATAGCCTTGCGCCCAATAGTATGTCAACTTTAACTTCACCTCTGAACACGCCATGTGTGTTAGAATTGAAGGCATCCTCCCGGACTGCAGCCTCAACCTCAGTTAGCTTGCTTTACTTTTACCCAAATTGTTAGCAAGAATTGCTCTGGAGTTCCTTGGGGCCCTTCTGATGGTCAAACTGAATTTTTGATTTCACATGATAAACCCCTTAGGTTTTGGAAAGATGCCCATGCAGGGAATTTAACATTAGGCTGAGAGGACAAAAGCACATTTGTATCAAGATGTGGACTTGGTTAAAGTTGGAACAATTGTCCATTCTGATGGAAAATTGGCTTGAAAGGGTCAACTGAACTATCCCCTCCCCAAGTAAAGTTACCAGAAAAGGTATGATTTGTGCCCCTTATGGATTAATATTAGATAATAAAATAACTCTAGATTTCCATTTAGCACAACAAGGAGGAGTATGTGCTACTGCTGCTCCTAGATAAATACCTCCAAAGAGCTAGAACAAGACATTATTACAAAGATTGACCAGACTACTTGGCTGAATGCAATATCCCCTATGATTGTTCCCTCTTTTTTTGTTATCTTTAGCTGATTACCAATAGCACCAGTTCTTGGTTTCATTCAATATTGCAACCTAGATTTGTGTTCTTAATTGTAATAATGATTATCATAGGACTGATTAAACGCCCTATAAAATGCTTGTTTAGTGTTTTCACGGAAACTGAAACTGTTATAGCTATGTATAGAATTACGTGTTTTAAAAAAGCTGAACCTATAGAAGTAAATCGATTTAAACAAAGAAGTGTTTTTTTACTTTCCTTGGGGACTCCTAAGTTGACTCCTGTTTGAGTTCACTCTAAATTTGTTCCTCCAATTCAGCCTTGTCTACTGTTATGACCCCCATAGCAATCTACTCATCCTGAAAATGGGGTCCATTAGTTTGGCAACGTGAAAAAAAAGGATTAACTTTCCTTTGACTAACATCACTGCAACAATCCAGGTGTTGTTGTTCTTCTCTCTGGGTACATCTTGCTGTTAGCAATATGTCCTACATACAATGCTGCAGCATGTAATTTGCTAATGTTATCATTCTTAGATGTTCACTCAACAACAAATAGATTCTAGTTATAAAGAACGAAAACTGAGAAAAAAGATATTCAACTTACATTAGAACTAATTTATGGCAGTCATTGAAACAGACCCCCATTATAAGTCAGGGACTAACCTGTATAATACGCTCTCAATTGTTTATAAAATCATTTCTATAAGATTTACTAAGCCTAGAATTTCATAAATTGTAACACTCAGACTAATATTCCTTAGGGATAGTACATCTGAAACATACTTTGTATTTTCTTTGTCTCCTCTGTAGCCTGTAGATGCCCTGGTGGCACAGTGGTTAAGGCATTCAGCTGTTAACCAGAAGGTCAGCAGTTTGAACATACAAGCCGTTTCACAGGAGAAAGATGAGGAAATCTGCTTCTGTAAAGATTTACAGCCTTGGAAATTCTAGGGGGCAATTCTACTCTGACCTAAAGGGTCACCAAGAGTCAGAATCAACTCAATAGCAGTGGGTTTTAGTAGCCTCTTTCCCTGTATTAGAGAGCTCTCTTTTGCAATAATTAGATAATTTGTAAATTAAAGGCACCTTTCAATACCACCTAAAATTCTATACTCATAAAATTTCTCCCCTCTTTGTTTTAACTCATAGGTAACTACTTCACAGGCATGTTTACTAGCACAATCAGGTATCAATTATGTCAATTATTATAATTATTATAATTAATGTCAATTATTTCAAAAATTAAGTTTTTACTTCCCAATACTCTTGAGGAAAAAAAAATGTAAGTCAGCTCAAAAGATCTTAAAAAGTACTTTAGTTTTATAGCCTTCTATCTTAGAGTGTCATGGAAATCCTATTAACCATAAATAAAAAATTGTTTAAAGTATGACTACCTTCTTCCTTCTTCTTTTCCTTGAGGAGTTGAAGGAATAGATGATCCACATTGTTTGGAGAATTCTTCTTCATCAGCATATATAGCAGTGCTGTGTAAAGGAGGAGCTACAAAAGAAGTGCCACTTTAAAAGTCTGGCATATTGACAGTAATCCTACTCCTCACTTACCGACTATCTTGCAATCCAACACTTCGCATCTACAACAACAGTAAAAAATCTACAGTCCAAATATTTTGTGCATTAACAACATACACCTGGCAGTAATACAAGGTGCGAGGTGAAAGTAACACTGGCTGTGATGGTTAAGGTTATGTGTCAGCTTGGCTGGGCCATGATACTCAGTGGTTTGGCAGCTATAGAAGGATATAATCTGGCAGTTACGTAATGATGCAGTCATCTTCCATTTTGTGATCTGATGTAGTCATTCTCCATTTTCACCTAATGCCAATTTTCACATAATGACCTGATCTTTGGCACTTAACCATGTCAATAAGTGAGGAGTAGGTGTATTTAAATTTATTCCCTTACAATGGAGTACAAAACAATCTTTGGTTAAATGCTCACAAAATCAAAATCAATTATGCAAGTCACTTCCCAAACATTTTTGATCCCAGATATTTTTTTTTAAAATCTAAACCATATAACCAATAAATATATGTGTATTATTCATAAATTATAAACATGTTACTATTGTACTCAGGAGTCCTGGCGGCACAGTGGTTAAAGCGCTAACTGAAAGGTTTACAGTTAGAATCCACTAGCCACTCTGTGGGAGAAAGATGTGGCAATCTGCTGCCATAAAGATTTACAGCCTTGGAAACCCTGTGGGACAGTTCTACTCTGTCCTATAGGGTTGCCATGAGTCAGAACTGACTCGAGGACTATGGGTTTAATGTTTTGGTATTGTTTTTGTTGTTGTTATATGCCCTCGAGTCGGCCCTGACTCATAGTGACCCCTCCTTGGGTTTCTGAGACAGTATCACTATGGAAGTAGGATTGCCCAACCTTCCTTCCGAGGAGTGGCTGGTGGGTTTGAACCACCAGCCTTCTGGTTAGCAGCCAAGTGCCTTAGGCACTATGCTACCAGAGCTCCTGTTTTGGTATTATCATACTTAATTATATGCAAATATTTCAGTAAGATAAAAAACAAATAAAAATATGAAGAGTAACAAGTCTTTCCTCACCCCTACTGGACTGTTATACACTCTACTTTAGAGACTAGTGCATCAACAATAAGCTGTACAGGTTTAGAGTGCTTGGCCCACTCCTACTACTCTAACACTTCATAAAGTGCTTAGGACTATAATACCCAGTATCTGTGAATGAATGACCTTCTGAGGAGGAACTCTTGTCCTCCCACATTTCTCATTCTCTACTCTGGATTCCTAGGGTCTCTGTTGTATGTAGCTAAGTCAATTTTAACTCACAGAGACTCCATGAAACACAACAGAACTGCCTGATAGGGTATTCTCAGCTATAATCTTTACAGGACCAGATCACCAGGTCTTCTCTCCTGTGGAACTGCTGGGTGGTTCTGACTGCCAACATTTCAGGTAGCAGCTGAGTACTTAACCACTGAGCAACCACGGCTCTTCTACAGCCTTTGGCTAGCATAAAAATGTTAACCTGAATGAGAAAGGGGATTAAAAAAAACTTGTACTTGAGAATGGAAAATGTACAGAAATAAGAGAGAAGAAAGAGAGAGGAGGAGGATGCAATAACAGAAGAGGCCTTACCTGTTTTGGAAAAAGGAGTAACAAAAGAGACCTAAACACGAGGGGTGGAACTCACAGCTGGGGGAGGAGGGAGAGATCTCAGGAGAGACCCTGAGAGGAGAGGAGCAAGAGGCAGATACCAACAAGTGGTATTGCTACAGGAGATTAAGAACCTAGCAACCATTTCTTCATGCTCAAATTTTAGCATGACAGTGTAAATTTAAACAGCATTTTTTTCCATATCAACTGCATGATTTTAAAGCTGGCAATACACTTTTTATCCCCCTCAACTAGGTTAAGGAATTTATTTACTTTACTACTATGAATAACAAGGGGAGCAAAAAAAGAAATAGGCCAATCTCAAATCTCCTTATGTAACTAATCATACAAACTAGACTCTTACAACTAAACAATAAGAAGATAAATAATTAAAAAATAGGCAAAGGATTGGAACAGACATATCTACAAAAAAAGATATAAAAGAGACAACAAGCCTATGAAAAGATGCTCAACGGCATTAGTCATTGGGAAATGCAAATCAAAACTATAAGATACCACTTCACATCTACTAGGATGCGTAGGGGGGAATAAAATCAAGGGTTGAAAAGAATACAGAAAAACTGAAACTTTTCTACATCACTGGTGGGAATGTAAAATGATAGTCACTTTAGAAAACAGTTTGACAGTTCTTCAAAACATTAAACATTGAGTTACCATATGATCCAATAATACCACTCCTAGGTATATATAGGGAGCTCTGGTAGCATAGTGCCTAAGGGACTTGACTACTAACCAGAAGGCTTGGGATGCAAACCCACCAACCACTCCTCAGAAAGAAGATGGGGCAATCTACTTCCGTAGTGATACTGCCTTGGAAACCCAAGGAGGGGTCGCTATGAGTAGAGTCTAACTTGACAGCACATAACAACAACAATAGGTATATATAACCAAGAGCACTGAAAACATATGGCTAGACAAAAACTTGTACAGAATGTTCACAGTAGCATTATTCACAATAGCCAAAAAGTGAAAACAACCTAATGCCCATCAACCTGGATAAACAAAATTTGGTACTAACAATGGAATATTATTCAGTCACAAAAAGAAATGAAGTTACTGTGAACAACAATTTATGAGTACATGCATAGACACTCTCAAGCTGACCAGGAGCAAGAAGGCAAATAGGACTACACCAATGAATACATATAGGTTTGACAGAGGCTACGTCTACCTATGTATTTATATGTGCTGCAAATATATCCATGACTGCAGTAGAGCATACAGTGGACAAAGTTTTAAAAACATTCTAGTCATAACCAAACACCATGAGAGAATGAGTTGCTGGGTATGGAGGCTCAGGACCATCGTCTCAAGGACACTCAGATCAACTGGCATAACACAGTCCACAAAGACAATGTTCTATATCCTACTGGGGTCTCAAAAGCTTGTAAGCAGCCATCCATCTAAGGTTCAAATATTGGTCTCTCCTCGTCCAGAGCAAAGAATGAAAATCAAAGATGCAGGAAACAATCAGTCCAAAGGGCCAATGGAGCACGTCAACCCCAGCCTCCATGACCCTGAGACCAGAACTAGATGGTACCCAGCTACCATTGCCAACCATTCTGAAAGGGATCACAATGAGAGGTCCCAGATAGAGTGGGAGGAAATGTGGAACAAAATTCAAAATCATAAAAAAGACCAGGCTTTCTAGTTTGATGAAGACTAGTGGAACTTGAGACTATGGCCCTTAGATACCCTTCATATTAGGAACAGAACTTAATCCCCATGACTCAACTGGCAGCCAAACAATAGATAGGCTTATCAACAGTAGTATCAGGAGGTTATGTACTCATTAGAACAATGAAGCATGTGAGATCAAAAGGACAGCATTTGCCTAGAGACAGTGCTAGGAAGGTGGGAGTGGATGAGAAAAAAGAACAAAGGGAAGGGTGAGCACAAGGAGGAAGTGAGAAGAATGCTGTTACAGTGTGCGAATTACAGCAAATGTCACAAAATAGAACGTGTATGGATTGCTGAATGGAAAACTAATTTTCTCTATAAACTTATACTCAAATCACAATTAAAAAAAAAAGAAATGAAGTACTGATACATGTTATAATATGGATGAACCTTGAAAACATTATGTTAATTCAAAGAAGCCAGATACAAAAGGCCAAATACTATATGATTCTAATTATATGAAATGTCCAAAAGAGGCAAATCCATAGAGACAAAAAGTAGATTAATGGTTGCAAGTGTCTGGGAACAAAAAGGGTATGGGATTTTGAGGAAAATAAAAATGTTCTGGAATTAGATAATAATGGTGACAGTTGCAAAACTTTCTAAGTATACTAAAAGCCGCTGAACTGCAGATTTTAAAAGGATAAATTTTGTTATGTAAATTATATCTCAATTTAAATAAAATAGGTATAAAGGGTGAATTTTATGGTATGTGAATTAGATTTTCATTTAAAAAATGTGATTTTGATTTAAGGTGATTTATTCCGTAAGTAAGTAAAATATTTTTTATCAAATCATAATAAAAGATATATTCTGGTGATGACTACTTCTCATGTATTATAAAATGAAAAATATTAAAATGTTTTTTGTTTTTAATAAAAAGTATAGGTTGAAAATGTTTCAGATGCCAAATGAAAAGTATGTGTGAGGATATACAAGTTCTCAAAATTCTCTTAAAATATATTCCACTGCAAATGTCCAATCGCTGTTTTAGAAGTGGGGCACTTGGCACTTTCTGTATTGTTATTGGCCTCTGGAGACACATCAAGTCAGAAGCAGTTCTGTTTGAACTCATTGTTCAAACTCCTGGTCACCCTGTTTCCCTCACACACATTCCAAGGAAGTGAGGTGGATTTCCTAAAGGATTCCCTGCCTCTGTTGGTTTAAGATAAGGGAAAATAACCCCACTTCTCCTCCCCAAATTAAAACCCATACAGAATGGCTCTATTGGTTGTATGGTATGAGAAATGTATTTTATATTCCGTGCCCAAGGTGGGGTCGCTATGAGTCAGATCCAACTCAAGGGCAGTGCATTGCATTGCGTTCATTACAATACTACAATAGGGAGATGTGACTGGCTTATTAACAAATGCTATTAGAAAAGTTCTACCTTGATATTGTTTAGAGTTCTTAGTTCCAATTTGAGTACTTGGACATCACAAAACAGTTATATCTCAACTACTAGCCAACAGGTTGGCATTTTGAACTCAACCAGAGGTGCCCGAGAAGATAGACCTGGCAGATCATGTCCAAAGATCAGGCTTGGAAAACCCTATGGGTTGCCATGAGTCGGAATTAACTCAATGGCAACTAACAACAACAGTTCCAATGTATCAAGAAGTTAAAAAAAGATTATTCAAAGTATCAAGAACTCCCAGAACATATTTATATGCAGACAACTGATTTTTATATTTTAAGATATTTCTATATTTGTATTAGTTGCTATTGTTGTATCTATTATTATTATTATCCAGCCTAAACATTTAGGATAAATATTTAAAATACTAACCAAATGTCTCATAAGGTTCTTCATCTTGCTCACTTTCACCCAGCCTGCCAATGCTTGAGATATCAGAATTCTCAGGAAAATCAAACACATCAAGAGGTTTGTGCTTTTGGTCAGCTTTCTGAAAGTAAATAAAGTCAAAGTTACTGAACTGGCCCTAACAAACAAAAGACATTACAGATATGCATTGTTTTCAAGGATACACACCTTGCTTAAAGGTGCGATCCTTAACACTTTTGGAGGACTCAGAATCTAAGGCAGAGGTCAACATGTATTTTCCACAGTGGGCCAGAAAGCAAATATTTTAGGCTTTGTGGGGCATAGGGTGCCTGATGCAACTACTCAACTCAGTCACTGTGGTGTGAAAGCAGACAGTGATGATGCAAACAAGAATGACTATTACTATGTTCCAATAAAACTTTATTTATGGACACTAAAATTTGTATTTCATATAATTGTCACAAAACATGAGATAGTCTTCTTTTGATTTCTTTCAATGATTTAAAGATGTAAAAAGTATTCTTAGCTTATAGGGCTGTACAAAAGCAAGCCAAAGTAAAAAAGACCTGGATTTGGCTATCTAAGGAAAACTAAGGTCCTCTACCTAGAAATATGCCTACATGTTAT